GCTGCCCCAGAGACCCCACTTGATCGCTCACTTTCCCTGAGAACTGACCCGCGGCGGCCGGAGCTGCCTCCCGTTTCCCGTCGGAAGATGAAGCAGCGGGAATCTTTCGGTCGCCCAGTTGTGATTCCAGAGAGCCGACTAAGTCGCTAACTGCTTTTTCATCCACCTCATTGAAGAGCATGTCCTCCAGTGGGTCGGAGGCTCCCGCCATCTTTGATAGTGGACCGTTGTGCAAATCGTTTTTTAGAATGTACGCATGCGTCAAAGATCCAGTTTGTTTTTGAGCATAGAAATAGAATAAACAGATTTTCAAAGAAAGATGTGGCGTTACACACCTGTGATGCAGGTAAACAAATATATAAAGTGCCAATAATAAAATTCTACGTATTTTGCTGTAAAATGCCCTCCGTGGCAGTACATTATCATATATAATTTTATTAAATTACTTTACAGTAGCATATAATGATGCAAGAAGAATATTGTTAAAGAGACCAGGATGGTGAAATAGCTGTGGCTGCAGGAGTTAACACCTTCCAAGCCATTTTGAGAAATTTGATCTACAAATGTATTTGTCAGCTTAATGCCTCTGATAATGAAATCATCCATAGAGTCTGTAATTTATTTTTGAATTTAATTAAATTTAATTGAATTTAGTTTGGTTGTTTAGTCCAGTGGTTGCCAACCACCTCCGAAGGGTCAATATAAATTTGAATCATAATTTTTAACATTTCAAGTAGTTCATAAGCTTATTATGGTTTCTTTTGTATAAAAATCTGTCAAAAGGTGCAGTGGGAGTAGAGTAAAATATTATATATCAGAAAATAGAATTACTAAAGTAAAGTACCAGTAGCTCTAAATTATACTTAAGTACTGTACCTGAACAAATGTACTCATTTTTATTTCACATGTGAATATCAAATACATATGTCGTTGGTTCACAATCCGCCAGAAATCAAAGAGATGAGCAACAAATACATACTGTATGTCGACAAAGGGATGTAGAAGATGTTGAAACGGTGAATGCATGTTCACTTCTATTCTGCATAGATCTAGAGTTCACAGAGGAGCGTAACCCCGCGAGACTATGAGTTCCCGTTAGCCCCGCGGTTAGAGACGTTCGATGGAGGAGGTGGTAGCCATGTTGTAGCGGGGAGAAGAGCAAGTTGGTAGAAAAACACAGCCCGGGGACACTTGGTCTTTAGTTGGTACTATTACTTACGCGGTTCGGAGGGACCGTTTGTTCTGTTTTCTGTTAAGACTGCCGAGCTTTCGGAGACACAATGAGTGGCGGGACGCCTTACCTTGGCAGCAAAATCAGCCTAATTTCGAAGGCCGAGATCCGCTACGAAGGAATACTCTACACCATCGACACCGAGAACTCCACTGTTGCTCTAGCTAAAGGTAACACGGCTAGGTGGCTAATGCTAATTTAACAGCAGCTAACATCGATTTATAAGTTTATCATCTCCGTGGGGGTGAGTCGCATGCGTTCACAGTTCAAAAATTAAACTTTTAAAAATTGAATTGGTGTAAGGTCGCTGATAAATTCTGCTCTGAGATATGTGTATTTTAACGTTAATCCGCAGTGTGAGCACATAGCGTTAAATAACGTTAGCCAGGTGGCTAGCGTTAGCTTGAGTTAATGGGCTTACGACCTAAGCACGCTAGGATGCTAAAACATTCATCAAAACAGCTACTAAGTATGCTACTTTGGCTTGGTTGTGAATTTAATTGCAGAAACTAAAGGAACTACCGAGAGTCAAGATTTAACTAGACTTTAATTACTCTTAAAGCCACGGAATAGAAATGTTACATGAGTCAGCTTTCCAGCTTGTCAGCTAACGTTAGCATGCTAGTTAGTTGTAAATAATCAGTTCCTGCAGCAAAATATGAATATAACGTTGACAGGCAGTCGCCGAGTTTCCGTTTCTCCCGCTTCACCTGCTGTCCTGTAGCCTGAACATCTGACGTCACTGAGTGCATTCTCATATTACCTGTTCATCAGCAACAGATTATGACGACACAATAATGAACCGTGTGGCCATGCAGCCTTAATGAGCAGCTGCAGTAAAGTCGGACAGTGAATTAAATAACGTAAATGTGTTTTGGATATTGTGATATATTACATACGTGACTGTGATCTGTATCATTCATTGCATTGAAGTATTCAACATTAAATTCAGTTTAAAGAGAGGCCCTACAAGGTATTAAACGTTTTGAATTTCATTGACAAAGGTGTTCAGTGTGTTTGTTGCCTGCTGTAGACAGTAACATTAGTTATAAGGTTTGCTGTCAGGAAACGGTTAACAAAGAATGGATAAAAAATGTTCAATGTGCAGAAGGACTAATGTTTGGTTAAATGATACAACACTACATGTGTTATCCACTGCCCTGTGATTCTAACTTCGACCTCTTTCCTCAGTTCGTTCTTTTGGCACAGAGGACCGGCCCACTGACAGACCCATCCCTCCTCGAGATGACACCTTCGAGTACATCATCTTTAGGGGCAGCGACATCAAGGATCTGACTGTCTGTGAGCCACCCAAACCAACATGCTCCCTTCCTCAGGATCCTGCTATTGTTCAGGTACTTTTTCACCACAACAAGTGCTACTTTGGGAGGTTTTAGTGTTTCTACAGTGCACCCTCTGTTTTCTTTCTTAGTCGTCCATGGGGTCCAGCTCCTCATCTTCTGCCCCGACCCCATTCCAGTCTGCTGGTTCCTACGGACTCTTCAACCGGGCCCCAGTTCCTGCCTACAACCAGTTCAGTGCCAGCCCCCTGGTTTCCCCTCAGTTTGGACCTGTTGGTGTTGGTAAGCACATGACTTCAGAGCATTATAGTGGAAAATGTTTGAGTGTTTGACACATTTTTGTAATAAACCTCCTTCTCTTGTGCTGCCTGTTTTTATGGGTCTAACTGTAAAAGACACTGGGAACAGGGGCTCAGGTGGGCATGACATCCAAGGGTTCAGGGTCTCTCCATGGCTCTTGTACCACGTAAAGCATGCCACAGAAACTGAGGAGGAATTGATTTATGGCATCAGTGTGACTTCACAGTTGCAGACTTCACTTTCCCCCTCTACATGTACATCACCAAGTCAGGTACAGACTTAGCTGTGACCTGTGACTAGGGCTGTGCCGTTTACAGAGTTGAAATTTTAAAACGTGCATTAACTTAGATTCTCCACATTGTCAGATAACCCCAGTGACAGTTGGGACAGGACGTGGTGCCTCTCAGCTGTTGGCATCTAAAGTTAACCTGTTTGTTTTGGTAGCATTAGCCACCTAGCAGACCCAGAGCATTCTACCAGACCGACATGTTTACGGTTAGCCTGTTAACGCTTGCGTCAGACTGGAGGCTGCAGTTTGTACAGTTTGTCCCAATCAGACATCCATAGTTCATGTTGTAGCTTCAGGAAACGGGACGGGAGCGGCAAAGAGTGGGAAGGAGAGGCATGGTGTCCATTTGTTTTGAGCCTCACTAGACCCTCTGGGCTGAAAATACATTAGGTGGAGTAGGTTTTAAATTGTGTGTCTGCTACACATTACTGTGTAGCTGTACAGAACCTTAACTGAGGGGTTGGTGGATTTAATGGTAGAAGCATTAGTGAATATTTATTGCTTATAATATTAAAACCCTGTGTTAGGAGCCTTACCTGACACATGTATTAATCTCAAAAAGGTGCTCATTGTTAATGAACAGAAAGTAGATTTTTATTGCTGTTTCTGTAAAAGTATATGTTGCTTGTTTGGAGAAGCAGCAGCTCAACAAGCCACAGAGTGAACTCAGCAGAAAGTGAAGTCAACACTAAGGTAATTGGCAGCTCTTTTGATAGTCAATTGATTGTCCAAATTCCAGTTTCTCTGTTTGCTGCCTTTTTCCCCTCTCCTACTGAGAATAAACGTAGTGTCTTTGGGTTTTGGACTGTTGGTCAGACAAAGGGAGACATCTGAAGACATTACATTGGGCTCTGAGAAATTATAATGTTTTACACTTGTTTTCTGACATTTTATAGACAGAATGGTTTGTTGATCAGTCAAGCAAAATAAACAGCAGATGAATCAATAACCAGAATGGCTGGTTGTTGCAGCCTTAGTATGCTTCCTGTCTCGTTTGAGTACACTTTAGTTTGTACATTTTCAACATACTACAGACTCCACACCTGTTTAGATTCAGTTTAAGGACATGTCACCAGTTATTTATTTTTCACTTTTTAACTTTATTTGACAGTTCAAACTTGGGGGTAACAACAACGAGCCACAGCCGAAGTCAAACAAACCATCTGGCGACGAGGGCGTTCCCATCCCAACACCTATGTGTTTTCGGTCAGTCGTCATTGATGGGTGGTGATGTGATATCGGCACAGCCCTAGTTTGATTTCCACGTCACAGGTAGTCTGTTGATACACAGGGATGCAGAGCAGCAAACTGAATTTGAAGGAACTGAGTGTTGTTGCCCTCAGTACTCTGTTCCTGCTGTTCCTCCCCATACAGGACGGTCAGTTCCCTCGTTTGTGGGTGACACGAGCACAGCCCCAACCCAGTCTCAGAGCAGTGCTATTGGCTCTGCTGTCCCCTCTGACTCGTGTTCTCTGGGTTCCCTAGGCACTGAAGGTAAAAACCTGCAGTAAGCCTCTCAAAAAACAAATCACCTATCACCGCACCGAGTGGTGCTAAATTACACCTGAGTCAGAATTTGCACTAACAAGAAATTTGTTGAAATACTGCTTCACTTAGACAAATCAGACATTTTCAGTGTTTGATAGACAGTTGTTTACATTTGGTGAGGCACTGTGACCCACTGTGTTTCTAAACTGTGACGGTGTTGACATGACTGAAATTTATCTTACACAGTGCTTCAGGTGGGGCTGGGCGATATATCCAGGTAACTGGATTTTTTTAGCATGTGAAAATACCTAAATTGCAGTCAGTGCCTGCCCTGCTGTCACTCAAACGCCAGTGTCACCAGTTTTCTGGAGTTACTACGGTAATGTAAGCTGTCACCATTTCATTGGAGGCGCCTGTATATATGAGTGTTGTTCCAGTAAGGGTGGCTGCAGCAGCTGGAGACGGTGAAACGGTACCAAGAAAAGTCATGTTACCTCAGTGGAATGATTCGGTTTTGCAGAGTGTGACATGGAGCAGACGCTACTCCGTGTGAAGTTTGTCAAAATGACGTATTTTGGTGTTTTGTTTTTGTTTTGTTTTTTTAGGTCACTGAATCCTCTTCCAGAAAGTTTCTCCAGTCACTGCAGACCAACTGTGCTTTATTTTATTTAAAGTTATTTTTTTTAACAAATAATTCAGGGTGAAACCATGTGTCAGCTGCTCCTAGTTTCATTCTTTACAGTGTTTTCAAGATGTAAAATGAGAACAGCCTTGTTAGTGATGGTTTTCTTTTGTTATTGCACAGCATATACATTAAATAAAGAAAACGGTGCCTCTTCACCAGCGACAGCCGTAGCCAGAGGCATTATGATCTCAGCTTGTCTGTCTAGCCCATGCTCGTCAATGCGATATCTCAGGAATGACTCAAGGGAATCTCTTCACATTTGGCACAAACATCCACTTGGATTCAAAGAAAACTAAATAGATTTTGCTGGTCAAGGTCACAGTGACCTCACATCTGTTCAATTCTCATGAGTTTGACTGGTTGGTGGAGGCATAAACGTGAAGTGGTAATTGTAGTTAAATCATATTTTGTCTTGAGTTCATACAAACAAAAAAATTGGAAATCAAACATAACACTGAAAAAGCCGGGATTGAATTGTGTGGTCATATCGCCCAGCCCTAGCTTCAGTTTAGAAAACC